AAGCTCACGTCCACAGTAGGCCGCCTGGCGGCATCCATCGTTTTGATTGGTTCAAGGGGGACCCCGAAAAACGACGCCCCCTTGCCAAGCAAGACCATTGCAGCCTCCATTTTGAGCCCAGAATCGATGACCTCAAGTGTCCTGACTGGCGTGACTGGGGCGTGACTATGCTGGCGCTGATGGCTGGATGCTCAAACCTGAAGGGCAAGGCTGTTGGCAGCGACACACCTACTCTCTCTTCTGCCGCTGGCGAAAATATCCTGAAAACCCGGCGTTGCCGAAGCACTGTCCGAGGCTCATGCTTCCTTTTAAGGTTGCAGGAACAGTGTAGCTCAGCGAATCTGAGGCGAATCTATTTTGCTCTGCATGGCAGATGGATGCAGAATTGTCACATTGTCAGACATATACTACGCTCAGACAGCTCCCTCCAAAGCGCATTCTCAAGAAAGCTTCGGAAAAGGAGCAGCCTGAAGGTGCCAGTGCGCCGCCCACGCGCCGCCGGGCCGCGCGGGGCGCGGCCCCGCCGCACGCGGTTATATGATATCGCAGGGGCGGCGCGAGGCTACATTTCCACCCAACTTTCCCCGCCGTCCGATGGGCAGGGTTTATCCGAGGGCCGTCGATTCAAGATTCAGCCGAAATGTGCAAATAGTGCCCGGTAGTACCTCGCAGCCCATAGGCTATCCACTCTTGAGCACCATCAGTTGCAGTGGTAGCGAGCTTGAACAAGGAGGCTGCCATTGTGGGACGCCACCAGCACAATGACGCCGGCTGAGGGTGCCTTCTCGTGGCAGGAGGTGAGCATTGGAGCCTTTGTGATCAATCATGTTGTTGTTTGGAATTTAGAGCTACACAGCCCACTAGAGCCTACAATCTAACCATTTAATTCACGGTATTAGCAAACTTACGATGTTAAACTTCATTGAAACACATTCAAGTCCTTCTCTAGTTGGACCACACCTTGTCAATGATTGTTAGGGAAATCACCTTTTGCCCGTGTAAACCATTTGCAACGTGTGGTCCAGCCAGCCATAAGTTTGGCCGGCCATCCCATGCATAAAGAAGCAGATGGCAAGCGAAACCGGTCCGTTGGACCACACCTTGTCAATGATTCTTAGGAAAATCACCTTTTGCCTCTTTGAACCATTTGCAACGTGTGGTCCACTAAGACAACCATAAGCCAGGCTAGCCATTCCAAGCATGAAGAAGCAAGTGGCCACAAAAAGGCTATGTTGTACTTCAAAGAATCAGTGGATTGTTTTCGGTAGTGGCAATATGCGGGGCATGGCCGGACGGCCCATCAAAGCACATTGTTGGCTGTAAAAAAACCAAGAAATGATTGCCCCAAGAAAAACATGCTATTGTGACTTAGGGCGATGAAAACACGCTCAATCTAACAATCTGCTCTCGTCAACAGGATGGAGCCTCCGTCATCATCCCGAGACCTCAAGGAGCCTGCCAGCACCGTGCTGCTCACTTCGACCACTCCAGCCGCCTCAGCCGCTCTACACGAGTTCTTCACGGCGGGACAAGCGGTGCGGAGCTACGCTGCTGTCCAATTCAAAGGCCCAACTCCAACCTTCGATGACATCAAGAGCGTCCCAGCGGCCCTCCCACCTCTCCCAAATGCAGGCGGCGTGCGTGGAGGGCGGGCTTCATATGCCGCTCAGCAAGGACTCGATGAGTTCTTCTTTGACTACGGGCTGGCCTTCAGCCTGCGGCAGACAGAAGCCTTTGCTCGGAGCGGGTTTGGCACCGCCTGCATGGGCAGCACGTGCCATGGGAAGAACCCAATCTACGTCCGAGGTCAAGAGCCTTTCATCTGGGAACAAAAGCGCAACAGAGGTGGGGCGGTCATCTGTTCGGGCGCTGGTGGGCATCTCCTGTGCCTTCGTTGTGTTGAGGCCGAGTACGTCGGAGGACGGCCCTTTGTATCAAAGAAGACCGGATGCGCCATCCCTCAAGGGGGCCTGTTCACCAAAATCGAGGTCTTTCCTGAGAGAAAGGAGCTGTGCCTGGCACGATCAGGGGAGGCGGCTACAGAGGGTGGGTGTCAGTTCTTCGTCCAGCGAAGAGACCTCGCTCCTTGCCCATATTGCACCGAGCCAAAGGCGACTTCGAAGCGGGGGGTCAAGAGGGGGCTTGAAGAGGGGCCGACACCTTTAGAGCTTGGGGCGATGGCCATCCTAGCAGAGCTCGCACGGAGCAAGATTCCACCAATGGCCATTGCCCCTGGCCTCTTCTTGGTACCGCATCTGGCCTCGGACGGGCGCCTTTTGGACATCTCAGTAACGGACAAGGGGCTCGTGAACGTGCCTCGACTCGTGAGGATCGACCACACGGGAAAGTTTGTGTGCGACTGCGGGCAGAGAGCGTGCAAAGACCATGAGATGAGTCCCCTTGAGGATTCTCGAGTGATGCACGGCTGGTGGCAAGGGGGTGCCGCCGACTTCACCTCCTTCAATGAGAGTCGGTCCTTTGTGCACGAGGTCACAAGGGGGGGCATGCAGTCTGACTGGGTGTTGCCACTGGATCAGTGGGGGCGTGTTGGGGCGCCTCTCTTTGGGGTGGACGCAGAGGCGTGGGTTGGCGGTCCACAGCTTCGAGTCTTTGTCGTGTGTGATCGTGGAGAGCAGCCCGTAGTGTGCGTGCTAGGGGGGCAGAATACGCACTGCAGCCACGTTGACTGTAGCGGGCCGGACCGGTGCCGACACCTCTTGAGGATGCTCTCAAAGTTGGCGACCCCTGGAGTTGAGGGGCCCGTTGCAGATGGCGCCCAGAGTGGGAAGGAGGGTTTGGCAAGGAGGTTCCGTGCAACGGGTTGCCGGGGTCGTAGCCCTTCTCGTGGGGGGAGAAGTAGCGCTTGACAAAGCACGCCAGCTGAAGGCGTCGTCGCAGAGCAACGGACCACGTTTTGTCCGTCTTGGGCAGGTAGTTGGTGCATAGAATCAGCTGCAAAATAGAAGGGGCGAACAAGTTGTTAAGTCCCGTTGAGGTTTAAAGAACGTCTTCTTCCGTTTGCTCTGCAAACATGCGTGCGTTCGAGAGGCAAAGGAGTGGAAGGAGGTTGTTTCCCACGAGCCTGATTGAGCCAACTCACACTGCAATCGAGGGTTCCTCAAGAAAAGCATGCAAGCTGCCAATCAACGAGGTCAAGTGAGATTCTCACCAAGACGGTTGCCGTGAATGTGACGAAGTCCTTGAAGAGGGGACGCGCCGTGATGATGTCGCTACCTGTCAGCTTCTTCATGCCAGCTTCATCAAGCGTGTCTGACTTGTCAGTCTCCTCGACGACCGCCAGCAACGCCCCAGCGAGCCCTGGCAAAACCGTCCTTGAACAGTTGAGCTTCTTGTGCCCCGAGCAGAAACTGCTTGGCGAGAGACAGTCCAGAAGGGGAAAAGAGAGTGCTCAGCCGCTGTTTTGCCAAGGATTCAACGGGGAGACGCAAAAAGTCGGCCATGCCTGTGAGTTTCTGAAGCAGGGCGCAAGGTCGGCCAGGCACGTAGGTTTGTGAGTTGGACGCAAGGTCGACCAAACCTATAAGTTTTTGAGCTGGGCGCAAGGTCGACCAGGCCTATTAGTTTCTGAGCGGGGCGCAAGGTCGGCCAGGCCTGCAAGTGAGCTGGGCGCAAGGTTGGCCATGCCTGAGAGTCTCTAAGGTGAGGACGCAAGGTCGGCCAGGCGTGAAAGTCTTTTGAGGTGGGACAGCAGATCGGCCATGCCTCGAAGTCAGGTATGGCGCAAGGTCGGCCTAGCCCTAATGGGTGATTGAAACTCATACGAATCAAATGCTTTGCAATGAAAGCTGTTATTGCGCAACCAGCTTCACCCTCACCTGCCTCTAGAGGCGACGCGGCCCCCTTGTTTGCGGCCCGCTGTCCCTTTGCGTTCACAACAATTTCCTTGCGCACGTCTCTGTAGGAAGGCCCGAGCAGCTTCCTTAGCAGCGACAGGAGTAGGCTTTTGCCTGCGCTCCCTTCACCAACAAAAATGGCTAGCACCTGGGGGAAAGCAGGAGGCATGCACATAATCAGCACACTTGGGAGAGGGAGTGGAGAGGTGAACGCTCTCCAGGAATCTTGTAGCAACCGTACAAGGAATCGACATCTGCTCAAGCGTCCTCCAACTTTTGATAGGTCTCCTTCTTGGTTGACAGCAAGTTGCCAGCACCAGTGTCGGCAGCAGTCAGAGTCAGGACGCTGACTCTGGATCCTGGGACCTCATCTGCCGTCCTTACCTTGCGGATTCAAGCAGCCCTAAGAGGTAGCATGTCAAGACGCTCTGGTATCACTTGTCCGAACGGCCCTTCAAGCACGTGCTTCAGAACAAGCAAAGAGCTCCTTCCTTGTCCTCTTACCTGGTTGCTGGTGTGACCTGTGAGGCCGTAGCCTAGCAGGACCTGAAGGTGCTCCATGGCGGCTGGACCGTCCTCCCCAGGGAGATGCATGATGTCCTCCAAGAATCGAACCATCTGACCCCTTGAATAGGAGATCCCATAGCCAGGGAACGGCCAGTCGATCACGCGGCTGTTCATGAACTTCAGAAACAAAGCAAAGGGAAAGTCGAATGAGTCCTCTGCCAGCCGTGAGATGCTTCAAAGCCCCAACTCATGCCAAGTCGTTGCCAGACGGGACTGTTCAGAAAAGACAGGCAAAGATCTCTTGAGAGGCGCCAGGATGCAACATGGGAGCTGCTCAGTGCGCCAATATTTCACAGACACGCCAGACACGACAGACACGATTTGCAAGATGCGCGTATTTCTTGAGTCGCCACAGGAGAGCCATACTCTGACACGTCAGACAGGACAGATACGAGCGTTGGCCTTCCCAATAATCTGCAAGCTGCCGAGGAGGATGTTCAAGTCTGTTCTTGGAGAAAAGCTGCATACCGAGCAAGAGTTTAAGCAAGGGGGGGGGGGTAATTCTGATCACGTGTGAAGGGTTCACCTACCCGAGGATGATGCAGGAGCAGCTGACCCGAGCGCAGATCGATGACGCCATTGGCCACGGCCCGGAAGTCCTTCTGCACGTCTAGCAGGGCCTGGAAGTCCGCCTGGAAGAAGTACTCCTTGCACGTGCTGACGACGTTCGACATCTTGGCATTGAAGTTGACATTCACAAGCTTCTCTTTCCTCTCCCCCTTCTGCCCACCGCCTATGAACTTCGAGAACATCACTTGGAGATCCGTATCAGCCTCCTGCCCCCTACCCTCCTCATTGGCAACCTCTGCACTCTCCAGGCCGTCCAGAATGTCTTCTGAAATGCCCACGCTCTCCTGCTCTTCACGTGAGTCCAGCATGTACGCGCTCTGGATTTTAGACAGCTCTTCGCGCAGAACGCGCATGATTCGACCCCCACTCTAATCCTTGGCCCAGAAACGACCGGTCCAGTAGTACGGTCCGGCGGGTGTGAAGGCAAACTTCAGCCCGCTTTGGAAGTACAGCCGCTCAAGAATGATGGCGCACCCCACGTCTCCTGCAAGGATGGAAGAGGAGAAATAGTAAGCATGTTGCGAAATCAATACAGCAAAAGGCGTTTAAACATATCACCACCGTGCCCCACAGTCTGGCGCAAGATGCAGACTTTTCTGGTCCAGACGCGCCCAATAGTCAAAGAGCGCTCACATACAGACCGCGTTTGACCATGCGGCTCTACAGGGCATCTGGCCGAGTTAGATTTTGCAACTCTACAGCGCCCCAATTGCCAGCAAGGACGCAGTCTGGCAGCGCTTGAAAGTCCGGAACGAATTGCGCCATCTACACCAAGTTGTCAGGTCTCAAAGAACATAGAACAAGCCTGATAATGCCTCCACTTAAGTTTGGGACTCGCCCCAAAACAGCTCCAAATCAGGCCCTGAGCAAAGGACAAGAGCAGCCTGACCACGGCCCCCAAACAGGCCCGAGCCATCACAAACAGCCTTCCTGCAATCCCAAATCTGCTTGACTACGGCCCCAAACCTAGCCCTGAATCAGGCCCAGAGCAGAGCCACAAAATGAATGTCCCCAAGCCCTCCAGAACAGCTAGTGGACCTTTGAAGGTTGTTCAAAGTCCACAAGCTCATGAAGCAACGGCAGTAGAAGCGGCAATCACAGATGCACACAGGAGTCTACTCGGCCAACTCTAAGAAAAGGGATTCTTCACGGCATCGTACAACGGGGGGCGCATGAAGCGGGCCTTCAAAATCACCCAGCTCAGACTGTTTGCTATCTTAGAAAGCCAACTTTCTCGAACTGATTTTGACCCCCAGCCTGAGCTAAGTATCAGCCAGTTTTGCTTGCGGTCCTCTCTCACCTTTCATGACGCTGAGGTTCTCTCGGAGGAAGGACAGCGGCAGCAGCACCCGGTCGGAGTACAGATGTTTCCTCTCGCTGTTCAGCGGCTGGCTGTCCCCAAAAGCTGCAGCAATCGGGAGCGGGAGCATGCCTAGGCGGATGGAGCGCGACCGAGAGGTCGTCTTGCAACTCTCCCCATAGCAGAGGTAGAGGATTTCGGCGCCCCGCCGCAGGAGCGCAAAGTTGTTGCTGTCGTGCACCCCTCCGCGCTGCGTCGCAAAGTAGGGGCACGCCACGCGGCCCCCAGGCCCGTTCCTGAAGTCGTAGATGACCCCAACTCCGGTTGAAGACGGCTTGGCACCGCTGAAAACGGAGGTGTTGTCCCCCCATGTCAACAGCAGCTTCTCGAGCGCGCTCACCACCTCCTTTTGGAGCTCGGGGGACGCAAGGTCCGGTTCAATAGATGCAGAGGCCGGCTCAGGCAAGTCTCCACCCCTCACTCCGCCCGCGCGTCTCTCCTCCCGCTCTTGCTTGTTCCAGATCGCCCGCAAGCTCGCCTGGCGGTTAAGGATTTCAATGAGCCAGCCGGGAAAAGGGGGCAATTCCGTGACGGGGGGAAGCTCTGGTTTTTCAATCATCTCGTAGCATAGCCTCGTGCCAGCCCCGTCCAAGTAGCAACTGCCCGGTGCGATCAGACACCCTTTCTCTCCCCTCATATCGATGCCCACCTTCAACACCTTGCCGCTCTCCGGATCTTCACAATACAGCTTTGAGAAGCTTTTGACGAGGCCCGAAGACAGGCCGGCCTCGATGCTCTTGCTTCGGGAGTAATACAGATGCAACCCGCCGCTGCCTGTCTGCACTGAGGGTGCTTCTGCGAGGCCGTGTGCGCGTTGTAGCGCCTCCCACGTCGCCAACCCGGAATCGTGGCGGTCGATGTCAAGCCCAAGGACGTCGCAGTTACTCGTGTTGATGGCCAGGCTGTTGTGGCTTTGGCGCACAGTCCCACTGGCAAGGGTGGTGGTCTGCCAGCTTGGTGGGAACTTGACAGACTTTCCGCCCTTCTCCTGGTCTGCTCCGCCCTTCTCCTGATCTGCTCCGGCCTTCTTCGGGTCTTTTTTGCCCTTCTCTGGATCCCACGTGATGTCGACCGAGAAGACGGGGTACCCCAGCTCACGGAAGCGGTCTGCTGCCATCTGGAACGACAGAGGAATTTGCCAGAAATAAGTGCGAAGATTTACTACTTAGGCTACAAGCGACCAAGAGCTTGCTTAGTGCTCCTTCTCTACCTGATATCGCAAACGCTTGTAATCCTGACATATTGATCAACAGGTTGTAAAGATATCCTCCAAACGAACGATCATAACATGTTGTCAAATTGTTGGACAACATGCATAAAATTTTATCGAGCCATGCTTTTGACCTCAATGTCAGGCGATCGATAACAAGCCGCCACATGACGCAATCATCAAAGACAGATTGCAACATTGGCTAAAGATTGATAACTTATAGCTCCAAAGGTGCAACTTATTGTTATAAAACTTCTTAGTCTTCCCAGGGTTCTGAGCCAATGGACACTGGAACGTGTACATGAACCCACATGTTGAAAAGCCCGACGACCTGGCGGCCTTGCTTCTCTGTTCACAAGCAATTGAGAAGGGGCATCTACACCTGCTAGAATGTCAAGTTGTCCGTCCTCACTATGATGGTGAACGGTGCAGAATCACAGGACGTGCTGCTGTTTGAATTCGATTCGACGGATGAGGCTCGGCTCCCCTCCGACGCAAGCAGATTGTTCCCAGGCCCGCCCTCCTGCATGGAGAGCAGATATCGACTCAAAGATTGCAAAGTTCAAAATCCAGAGAAGCATAAAGCACAAACAAGTACTCGAGCAAAACTTGGGCGGATGTTGTCCGAAAAATTGAAGGATTGGAGCCGAGGTCATACCGTATCGATATGACCTGAGGTAAGCCTACTTCAACCGAGGCATGTGTCTGTCCTCTCTCTGGCGTCTGCCAAACAAACCGATGCATCTGGTGACAGGCAAAAGACGTGTCTGTCCTGTCTCTCGTGTCTGCCAAGAAGAGAAGTGCAGCCAGCATGGCAGACACGTGCCTGTCATGTCCCGTCTGTCTGCCAAGCACTACTGGAGCGACAAGCATAACACCTCTCCACCCCCTGTCCTGCCCGCCAAAAAGGTGACGCACATCAACGGACAAAGACGTGTCTGTTCTGTTTGTCCTGTCTGCATGCACACAAGGAGAGATGTGGAAGCTCACCTCTTCTGCAATGTCGCTAGGAATTCCCCCTGAAGCTCCGTTGCCACTTGCGCACGTTGCGGCTGACGATCCAGGCCGCTCTACTTGAAGCTCTCCCCTTGCACGGTCTCCCTCCACCTGAAAGAATAGAAAGGCAGGGCTCAAGGGAGAGTCAGTCTCATTCACTTAGCAGTGGTCCCTGTCTTTAGTTTTCAGTAAAATCCGCCCCATGACAGTGCACAATCGTCGTGCCCTCTAGACGCCTGCGCAATAATCAGCACATCCTTCTCGGTCCTGCTAATTTCAGCACATAGCACAAGTGCACGGGAGACTGGTGTCCCCCAAGCAACACCCGCCAGTTCAAAAAAGGCAGATTTTGCAGGAATAGAAGAGCGGGCTCGCAGCGAGATTGTGCCCGCGTGCGCTCGCGTTCATCTGTGACACCCACCTCGTGTGACATCAAGCTTGAGTCGACCCGAGCATGAAGCTCTGGCGACTCGAGCGGATCCTCAGCTGCCCTGCAATGTCCAGGCTCGAAAAAGCCCTCCCGGAAGGTGGAGGGATCGCCAGTGCGCCGCCTCTTGTCGCTAGCTGCTTGCACGGCCAGTATCTCATCTCCCGTGCGCTGCTTGCTGTAGCTGGGGCTTGTTGGACGGTAACGTTCCTGCAGGCGACGGACGAAAATTCATTGATTGGCAGACAAGAGGGCGCGCGGGCTCCGCTTTGAGTTTCACAACTCACAACGAGTCCCCCTTAATCCAGGACACGCGAGCTTCTAGGCGCATGCTAGGCGAATTCCAGTCAAGGCCAGTGTTTCAATGACGAATGCGACTGGAGCACGCAACCAGCTTGCTCGCAAACTCCCCTCCCACTACGCACCTGAGGCCCATCAGGGTTGAATTGCCCTTTATTGAAAACTCCAGCAAACCGCGATGCACGCAATCAGCATAATACTGACTTGGAGAGGAGGGTGAATCGAACGGACCTGATTGCTGCTGGCCTCACACGGCGCATGAGACATAGACGCACCCTCCTGCCGTTCTGCCATCGCCCCGTCGCTGCTTTGCAGGAGGAAATGCGTTTCAACTTGGAGCGGTTCAGCTGCGCCCATGTCTGACGGGTCACTCTCTCCCCCGGCCACACTACCTGCAAAGTGTAAGCGGGAGGCTCTCAATGAAAGCGCAGAGATTGGGCCGGTTTAACCAGAGCTAAATGGATATCAAACCAGGACTATATGACCCAATGGCTTGAGCTCAAACAGACTGAGCAGACCTGACTTCAAACCCTAAATCAGCCTGACGGCGGACACCGCATAGCATATTCGTGCCAGAGCCCAAAAACAGCGATCAATGCCCCCCAAGTCAGCCTCGAAACCAGCCCAACCGCCGCCCCAAAACCAGCCCGACCAGGAGCCCAAATCTGCAGAAAAGCAGGCCCCCAAACGGTTGCGCAACGGGGCTGAAAGTGAACCCCTGATATGCCTGACAGCGGGTCTTGAATCAGCCCCACAGCGGGGTCGTGAATCCGCCCCACAGCAGGGCCCAGACCTGCCCAAAAGCAGGCTCCAACCCAGCCCCACAGCGGGCCCGGAACCAGCCCAACAGCGCATCCCAGATTGAACCCAACATGGGCTCAAAATGAGCTCCACAACAAGCCGAAAAGAACCTCAATTAGAGGGGTGACCAGGTCAGACTGACTGACCGGAGTTCTAAACCAGCCCCAAGACCCCCTGCACAATCGCAAGTGGCAGCGCATGCTCACCAGGTGTGTGGCAGTCGATGTGGCCCTGATGGCGCCGGCGCAGCGATCGCAGCTCCACGCGCGTGCCACAGCTGCATGCACCCTGGGCACAACACAGATCACAATGCATCAGCAACCAGGCGCCCTTTAACAAGCTCCACAGCAAGGCCCCCAATCAGCCCGACAACGAGCGCGTGACTAGTAGTCCATTGCAGAGGCAATCACCAAGCTCTGAACTCGAAAAAGCGAACGCCATTTGAACGCCTAGGTACAAGAAACCTCAGTGCCAAATTCAAAGCACGTCCAATCCTTGCCATTGTCTTGCCTGGCAATGCTCAGTAACACCGATCTCATCACGAAAGATGAACAGCTCGAATCAGAGACTAAGAGACTGATAACTTGCCTTCAATTTGGAAAGACCGCAGATTGACTCTCTTGTATTGTAGACAAGATGATACGCAAGTGATCAGGATAAGGCTCGGTGAGACAGGCCTGTTGGCGCTCCTCCCGTTGCAGGGTCGCAACGCGTTCCACCGATGGAGACCTGTCCCCCTCTCTGACCTAAACTAACCGCCTAACCAGCGCACCCAAACAGCGCTGAACCCCCCACGCATTCGAGCAAGCACCTTGGCGCGTTTCCTTGTGAATCACACCCGCGAAACCAGAGCCCAGATGCGCTTGAAAGGGCGCCAATCAGCATGGAAGCCAGGACCCAGCCTAACAGTGTGTCTCATGATGAGCCCCACAGCACGCTCAAAAATCAACTCGAAAGCCAGCCCCCCAGAAATGATTCAAACACTGGCCCCCAAGTTAGACTGGCAGAGCTTCTAAACCGCAATCGCGTATGGCAGCACGGCTCACCAGGTGTACGTGGCGGTCGATGTGGCCCTGATGGAGCCGGAGCAGAGCAGCAGCCGCAACACGTGCTACAAGAAAGCGTGTGTCGCTGATCTTGGCCGGCTCCCGCTGCCTCACGGCGCTGCGAGCTTGCTCTTGCGCTGAGCTGCCCCTCCCGCTACTGCTGCAACTCCTGCGAAAGGCACATCAACCAGACAGTCTGTGTCTGGTCCCTACCTTCCAAGACTTGGAAGGTCCCACCCCAGTTTATGTGACTGACAAGTTGCATCTGATTCTCAGTCAAATGGTTGTGCTTCGACCCTTCCCTTAGCGAGATCCATTGCAGTCTGCTGCTCTTTGCAATCAGAGGTTGACTGGTGCTAATTCCAACGACAGCGGGCCCTAAAAACACCAATAGCGCATCCCTAAACGAGCCCAGCAGGGGGCACTGAATCATCTTAAAAGTAAGTGCCAAACTCAATTCAACACAACGAGCGACAGGGGCTCCAAACCATCCCCAACAGTGCCACAAGACTCTCGCAGCAGACCTCAATCCCGGCCCAAAACCAGCTTCAGATCAGGCTCAAAAGCAGCCCCGTTGCGAATCTGCTAAAGAGCCGAGGAGCAGACCTGCAATCAGCCCAGAGCAAGGGTGCGATCAGCCCCGAGCAAGGGTGCAATCAGCCTCACAGCAAGTCTACAGAAGACTGTGGCCGGCCCGCGATCAGCCTCACAGCAGGGGCATCGTCTGCTTCGTAGCGAGCCCACGAACAGCCGCCAGCAGTCTCGCGCTGGGGCCGCAAAACAATTGGCGCAGCGGACCTGCAATGAGCCCACAGCAGGGGCGCTATGAGTCTCCAGAAATGGTCCGCAATCAGCCCAGAAAGCGGACTGGAACCCGAGCTGAACACAGCCCCCACCGCAAGCAGCATGTTTCAACGCAAGAATGGGCCCCAAATCAGCCCCACGCTAGCGGACTTGAAAGCAGCCCAACAGAAGGCCCCCCAGGCCAGCTCAAAAGTGGGTCGCAAATACACCATGGAGCTGGTGGCAAAAGTAGCCTGACAGTGGCCTCCAAAGCCGCCTAGGTCAGCCGGACAGCCATCTTAATAACAGCGGGCTTAATCATCGAGTTAGCACCCGTTTCTGGTGCAGCCTCACATCAGACACCGGCCAAGACCATTTTTATCAGCAGGACCTAGATAATCCCCAGCGAGCTCCCAAACAGCTGGCTTCTGGTCAACTTATCCCCCCAGCAAGCTCCCAAACACATTTGCAGCAAAATCCGGAGCCGCCATGATGAATAGAGCAACCTACAGAGCACAGAGCACTCACCTTTTTTCGCTTCTCTTTGACTTCTGCTTTTGATTAGGACTTGACTTTCTGGATCCAGCACTTTTGATGTAGCTCGTAAGAAATCATGCCAACCAGAGTAGAACCTGGAAGGGTGCTGGTGGCCGCCAGCTTGCAGAACCTGTCTCTGGAAAGTTTCGGGCCAGCTGGGCCCGGCTGGAATGAATGGTACGTGGCAGTCATGCAGGCCTTCGGAAAGGCTGCCATTGACCGCCATGGTGCGCCAACACCAGCTCGGTACCATTGGTGCGCCACTCCTCGCCAATGCCAGCCACCTCGCCAATCGCCAAGCTGCTGCTCTGGCAGCACCTTGCCGGGCTCAAATGCACACTTGGTTCTTCAGAATCATAGGATTTCCGGAAGAGATCACTTCGGGCCCCTTTAGAGAGTTTTCGGAAAAGGGTGCGAGAAATTTTCGGAACCGGACTCACACCTGAGGCCTACAGATGTAAGTTCTAGAAGGCTCAAATATGCCGGCCATTCAACTGAAAATATTCGGAAAAATCATCATTTACGGCGCCACCAGACAGGTAGGCAGGACAGGCAGGCCGCAGGACTCAGGAGTCTGATTCGTGGCTCCCGTCCCATGCCCGGCCACACCAGGAAGTATGGAAGAATATTGTAATTTACAGCGCCCC